GATCCTACTATCCGACACACGTGGTGGACTTTAACTATTGGAGGAGCCTATTTTTTTCTTTCTCTTTTTGCTTGTAATCAAGTGCAGGTTCAGAGAATGTTAACTGCAAAGTAAGTAAATTTAAAAAATATTTTGTCACCAATGATACATGTTTGTTTGTTTCAGGACTATTGGAGATGCTCGAAAAGCTCTTTGGATGAATATACCAATGACTTTGGCGATGGCATTGACTATTTCTTTTTCAGGCCTTGTGCTATATGCTTATTATTTCAATTGTGATCCAGTGATTTTAGGCGATATTAAGTCTTATGATATGTTGATGCCATATTTTGCAAAAAACCGCATGACTGAGATTCCTGCTCTCACAGGAATTTTTATTGCAGGTGTTTTTAGTGCAAGTCTTAGTACGGTGTCTGCAATGCTGAACTCTCTGGCTGCCATAGCTTTAGCAGACTATATAAAGCCACTTTATCAGCGATTTGGTTATGATTTTCGTGATGACAAGGCTGCATTTTATGGAAAAGTTTTAGGATTTATCATTGGATTTATTAGTATTGCTATAGCTTTTATAGCTTCACGGTTAGGAGCACTCATTCAAGCAGTATTAGCTGTAAATGGAGCATTTGGTGGTCCTATTTTAGGACTCTTTACATTGGGAATGTTTATAGAATCAGCGAATGAACCTGGAGCTGTAATCGGTACTATCATTTCTATCGCATTTAATATATGGATCGCTTTTTCACCAAAACCTAGAACGCCTGTCCTAGACATGTCAATTGATGGATGTTCTAACTCCTCCCACATTATTCAGAAATATATAAGGTATCTATTGTAACCTTTTATTTTTTTTTATTACTTTAGTTCTGCTTTAGCAATAGTTAAAAAATAGAAAAAATAAATTAAGCCGTGCAATTTAGTGGTTATTCAAACGTAGCACCTCTGTTATAAATTCTTACTTAAGAGTAAGAATATATTGTTATGCTTCCATCTGGTGGATATTAATTTGTTTTATTGAAAGCTTTACTTACTGTAGTTCTCTCGCCCGAAGGATTAAAATATTCGGTTTCAGCGCGGAAAAAGAATCTTTTAAAATAAAAGATGTCCATTTAAACGTTATTTAATTTT